GGGGCAGCCACTGAGGGGGCTGCAACAACTGGTGAGGGATGGGGCCAGGTGGGGCAGCAATTGTGGGGCTGGGGTGGGACATGTGGACCTTGCAAGGGGAGTGGTAGCCCCTGTGGGGGCCATTTGGCCCCCATTGGGGGGACCATACCCCTTGTGTGGGGACTGAATCCCCTGTTGGGGACCCGTACCCCTTGTTTGGGGGTTGAACCCACTGTTGGGGGCCTGTACCCCTTGTGTGGGGGTTGAACCCCCTGTTGGGAGGCCGTCCCCCTTGTGAGAGGGCCAAATCTCCTGTTGGGGGGCTGAATCCCCTGTTGGGGGAGCCAAACCCCTTGTGTGGGGTCCATCACCCTGCAGGAGTGCAGCAAAACATGCATTCATGAATTCATGAAACATGTGTTTAGAGTTCACTTTATTATTATTTTAAGAGACTTGCTTTAACACTGTAGATATATCAATAAAACACTGTCCAACTGATCACTGTCTCTGTCTTGCTCTCTGTCTTTATAGTGGTCCTTTGTTTTCCTTGTAGAGGAACATGGATTTGGGGGTATTTTAGAGAGTGACTTTGGGATTTTTTTTATCAGGGATTTTTCAGTTTTCCAACAGGGAACACCAGAATTCCTGCTAGGGAGGCCAATGGCAGGACCCTGCCTGCTCAGAGCTAGCACCTTGGACCCATCTGGCTGTGGCTGACCTCCTGGCCAAATGGGGCCAGGAGGACAAGCTTTGACAGTTCAAAGCAGGCCACCATACCCAGAACATCTTCCGGGTGATAGCTGCCCAGATGGCTGGGCAGGGGGCACACATGGCAGTAGTGCTGCACAAAGGCCAGCCCTGTAACTGCAGTCCACTGGCAGCTGGCCAAGAGGGGCAGATGCCTCTACTGGCTCTGTGGCAGTGGTCAGGGGCCTTGTGGGGGCTGGCGGGGGTCAGGGGGGCTGGGGGAGTGGGCAGGGCCATCAGGCATCCCCCCATGGTCCCCTTCCCCCTCCTCCAGCCCCCCCGACCACTTACTCACCAGCACCGGAGCCCTGGTGCTGAAACATGCAGCTTGGCCAGCTGCATGCTTTAGCACCAGGGCAAGGGCCAACCATAGAGACGCTCTGGCAGCCAGAGCGTCTCCATGGAGGACCCAGCCTCCTGCCCTGCTTTTTTAAACATTGATTTTTTTTAGACACCTGGATATCCAGGGGTCTAATTTTCTCCCCGCACTGCATGTTTGCAGCACAGGGAACATTTGTTTGTTCCAGCATGTGCCTGTTGCCCTGCCTCAAAGGGGTTTGAGGCGGGGCAAGAGACACGTGTGCTCTCATGTGGATGTGCCCCTGAGCAAATTGTAGCAAACATACCTGCTCAAAAAAAAAAAAAAAAAAGCTATAGTTTATCGCCTGTGGATGAATGGCAAATTCCCAACACATTAGAACTGGTTTAAGACTTTTTGGATGCATTCATACAATGCAATGCATGCATTTTATAAAGAAGCTTTCGTATTTTTTTATGGCGAGCCCGTGATGGGTTGAAAACTCATTTGTGACTCAGAAGCTGCAGTCTGAGTATGACTGCCCTAACTTCTCTATTGATTCACCATCCTCCTTCGTTGCCCCTTTCTCCTTGGCATTCTAGGTGGTTTTCAATTCTTGCAGTTTATACTTGCAGTCTTCCCCCTCCAAATAGATCCAATACTATTATTTTTCTCGAAAGCTCTATTTTTATTTCCTATCACCTGTTTGACTCTCTTATTTTTAACTTGCTCCTTGCCTGCCATAGCGTATGTTCCAATCTATTTATGTTATTCTGGCAGAACTTCAACTCAATAAAGTTTTTTTTTTAATCCTAAGAAACTACCCAAATCTACTTCACCACTGAACCAAGCCAGAATGAATCTTCTTATCTGCCTCCTTTTCCTTTTTTGTTCAATAGCAAATGATGGTGCTCCTCTATACCCAGGGTTGGAGTCACATTTCATCTGGGGCTATTCCACCAACAGAATAATTCATCCCACAGAAGGATGGTATGTAAAAGCTGTCAGGAGGTCCAAAAGGAGTCCTCTGGTTAGTGTTGCCTGTAGGATGCACTGAATCAAGTAACGTCAGGAAAACCCAAGCCACTAACACCCTTTCTGCCGTCCAGGCTGCCCATTTCCTGACTACAATGGGTGGCTGCTACAGCTGGAATC